ACAGGTCTGTCACTGAATGACCAGACAGGTTAAAGTGTTCTCCCACTGGTTTTTGAATATTTTGATTCCTGATGTCAGATTTGTGTCCATTAATTCTTTTGCGTAGAAAGGATGGTAGGTGAACCAGAGATGCAAAGACTTGCCCAAAGTCACACAGCTGGTCAGCGGATCCATATCTCCTGAGTCCCAGGCCAGAGCCCATACCACTAAACCACATTCCTATGGGGCCCTGATCCTGTTCAAGCTTCTGAGCTCTCCTACAACTTAGATAAACAATACTAATAATAATCAAGGATAAGCCTATTGCTTTCTTTCCGAAGGAATAAATGATAAAGGTAAGACTGGAGAATTTTTGGTTGATTCCACTAATAAGATAATGCACTGGATGCATTAGCAGATCATTTTGACATTTAAAGTTTGTTATAGCATAACCCTAAGCAGATTTGCTGAGTTGATACCCTGAAAACATAGCTGAAATCTTCCTTGAGTTCCATAGTTCATCACCCTTTTTATTACCACACATACAGTTGATCTGACTTATCTAATACATCAGCAGAAATTTTCTAAATCTTACCAGTGCACTACTACCAACAACTGGCTAGATTCCACAAAGTACTAGACACATTGATAGATATTATGATTGATAGTCCTCTTTCATCAGCACATCACTTTTGAGAGCTAGAAGTAGGCAGAAAACACTTTTTGAAAATAAACAAGGGCTAAAGACATAGACCTGTCCTTCTACTGAGCCCTGCCTCATCTATGGCCCCAGAGCAGACAGAGGGTCCTCGGGCAGCAGGAGGCAGGGAGTGGAGGGTTAGAGAATTGGTGCTGTTGGTTCCAAGGTAGAAAAGTCCTGGAGTAACAGGAGGCAGAAAAGTGTAGCTACTGGGTCAGGAGAGTATTAGGAAAAGGATGGCTGTTCCCCTATCTCAGGTGTGAAGAGAGGGTAAGTGGAATCTCCATCTGAGCAGCCAAGAAAAGGCTTGCATTTTTGTGTGCATTAAAAGTTTTCTTTTAAAATTTGTAATTTAGTGTGAAATTATCACACACATGGGCAGAGGAGTAGAGAAGGCAGACTAAGAAACATGATATTATTAAATTATTTTTAACCTCATGAATTTTGAGCCAGTCATCATTTTGGGCATCTGACTCATGATATTTGATCTCCTGAGGTTGGCAAGTCAGCAGGTCTCATCATTTACTCAGTAACCCAAGCTCAAAGAGTGCAAAGAATGTGTAAAATGATTAACATGGGGTGATGGGAAGAAGTCACCTATGTGTATCACACTTTTGTGTTTTGCAGTTTGCTATAGCAAGAAATTATCATTTAGCCTACCAGTCCCCATAGCCTTTCTAAAAAAAAAAAAAATCTTTATAAGCCTCTGGCTGAAAAGCTAGTTCAGTGTGGTATTTATGCCAGAAAAACATAGAAGGCAAATAAGCTTATTTACTAGAATTGCTTGGAAACTTCCTGTCAATTATTTTCTGACCCCCTTTTTGCAAATTCAAAATTTTCCACGGGAAAATTTCAGGGTTTTTTTTGGGGGGGGGATTATTTTTCCATCAAGAAAATCAAAATGACAGGTACCTGTCTGCCTGCCTGGGAGACTCTTGCTGTGGCAGAAAGTGAAATTGACAAGAGCCTTCCAGGTGGGCAGGCAAGGCTGACTGCCCTCAGCCTCTCCGCTTCCCTCCTAGGGCTGGAATCAGAGAGCTGGACTGCTTAGCAAGAAACAGAGAGCCAGAGCACTACGCTTCCTCCCCTCCCCTCCAAGCTCTGAGGCCAGAGATGCTGAACAGCACATGTCTCTGCCTCTCCACTGGCTGGTCTGGAAGGCTCTTGTCAATTTCATCTGCAGGTGGAAAGTAAAATTTACAAGAGCCTTTCAGGGGAGCATCTGGGAAGGCAAAAAAATCCATTTGGGCTCTCCTGAAATGGAATGTTCTTGAAATCCCTTCCTACAAAAAAAATCACGGATTTGATGCTTTGCCCTGGTTCACAACAAAAATTAACTCAAAAACCAATTTTTTTCCCAGAGGGGATTTCTGTTCTCCAGCCAGCTCAACTATTTACTGCAGCAGGTTTGAAAAGACATGAAAGTAAGAAGTCTAAAGTACTGATCTGCTTTGCCTTTCCTGACAGTTTCTTTCAATCTTCTCTTGTTCCCGAGATCCACTAACTTACTAACAAGAAAAAGAAAAGGGAGTGCATGCGGGGAGGGTATTTTGAGGAGGATAAAAGTGCTGTGGATAGGCTGTGACAGCAAATTTCTTTCTGGCCTTCTTTCTTGAGGGGAAGATTTATCCACCTGAAGGTAAACCTGATTTTATCCCTCTAATCCAGGGATTTTCGCTCCTAAATTTTTAAAGTTAAACCTGGTGCAGTTCTTAAAAATATTTTTCAATAAATCTATGTAGCTTTTTAATCCTGTTAGAAAAGATGTGTTGCTTTAAGAACACTCCACGTGCTCTCTTTCCTTCCTAGGGGTCTATTATTCTGCATTCAAATTTTGTGCATCTAATTGCTATTAATGTAAATTGGAGACACAACTCTCTAAGTCAAATTTGATGTGTTGTAGGTGTAGGCATAGCTGTGCTCAACACAATACTTTTGGCTTCCAGTTCTTCCTGATAATCTGCTCTCAGTTTTGTGTCTGCATTCCTTCGCAGTCACTTGGAGTTTCAGGTTCACACGAACCCAAATACTAAAAGCAAAACTTTGCCAGAGTCACCAAGAGTTGCCTGATTCCAGTTAGAAATTGACTGCAGACTTAAATGCCTGATTGTATTCTGCAGATATACTTGTACAAATGTACAACACCGCCCTTGCACTGGTTTCAAACTGAGGTTAGTTGCATCAGTACAAGCCCCTTTTTACACTGCTGCAGCACATCTAGCTACATTAGCGCAATTATCCCCAGTTCATTCGGGCCCTAAGATGTAATGAGAACCAAAAGCTAATTAGTGAGGAGTTGGTCAGGCTTTTAGGTTAATGGCTGATATCCACCAATGTTCCTAAAGGGTCTGGACCCATGTTGCTTATTGGAAGAAATGTGACTCAATATCAGCTTTATACATTTTATTAAAACTACTCCACAAAAATAAAATCAAGAAAATATTTAGCTATTATTAATGCTACTAAATTAAACTAAGAATTAAGCAATTCAACTATCAAATCAAGGTCAAACCAACAAGATAGTCTCAATATTAGATTAAATTATTAGATTGGTTAAA